ATGAATCTTACGGCCCCTCTATCTGGCAGTTACTGTACAATCATTTGTGGTTTCATTCAATGATTGTTAATATATTCAACAGAATAGTCACTGTCTGTAAATAAAGTAAAATATTGTCGGTAATTTAATTAATCACAATTAGTTTATATAATTCTTTTGGTTTAATTTAGTTATTTATTGTAATTCACTAAACACTTCACATAAGAAAATAAGTCAAAGAATTTATTATAGATATTCTGTAATAGGTTTGAAATATACGGTACTGTTTTCATTTCAGTTTATCTCTATTGGATTATAATTCTATAAATAACATCTAACTTGTTTATTTTAAATAAGTTATTAATTCATTGTTTATTTTAATTTATATTTAACTTATTAGTTTGTGGTTTTAATTAATGTAAAGTACAATATTTTAAATATCATATTAATTTATTTAATAGACAGTTGAAAAGCAATTAAAAATTTAATAAATATTTGATTTAGGATTTGAGTAAAAGATATAAATTGATTGGCATTTAATAAACGAAAGATTTAAGAAGCGAGTAATTTAAATGACTGATCGTTTTAGTTAATTAATAATATTGTTGATTCACCTTTTAGTTATGTTTAAATAACAATTATTTTAATAAATGTACCATATTTGTTTATAACGTACACAACTAATACTAGTGTATTAATTAACTACATTAAATTTAAAATAATTATTGAAGTTACTTATAAACTAATATCAAATTTGGCGCAAAAATGTGTAAAAAAGTTTTGGACGAATGAGTGCTGTGTTTGTGTTGAAGGGAGGGATGGAGTGAAGGGTTGGGGAGTGAGTGGGGAGGGAGTGATGGGTGCGGTGTTCACAGCATTGCCTTCACTTCACTCACACATCAATCGCTCATTCATTCAATAATAACCGGTATTTTCATTATTCAATCGTTTGATTCATTAATGCATTGTTTTAACCATTAATTGATTGATTTTTGTGATCACAAAACCCAAAGCACTCATCGATTGTCACGTAAATGGCGTCCAAAGCGAAGAAGTCGTCGTCGGGGGCGCCGACGGCCACCACAACGACGATCACGAGTTCGGCCGGAGAACAGGTGAGCTCTTCGGCCGAACGGCCCGTCAGTCCTCTCTCGCCGTCACGACTGTCGCGAATACAGGAGAAGAATGAGTTGCAGGGACTCAACGACCGGTTGGCCAACTATATAGAGCGCGTCCGACAGCTAGAGATCGAGAACAACCGCCTCTCAGTCCAGATTCACTCGAGTCAAGAGACCGTCACCCGAGAGGTCGTCTCCATTAAGTCGCTCTACGAGAAGGAGTTGACTGACGCCCGACGGCTCCTCGACGAGACCGCCAAAGACAAGGCGAGGCTCCAGATTGAGGCCAACAAACTGCACAATGACTGCGAAGACCTCATCACTAAGTAATTTACTTTAATTTTGTATTTACAGTTATGTAATTTGACTGACATTTAAATCCATTCCCTGCTCTCAAAGGCTAAAGTTTACAAAAACATTGTTTTGCTGACAATATATAAACTAATTGTCGAGTTATTAGTTATGAAATGTGATGTAATGAACGAAAATAGCATTTTTAATGTATTTTATTTGCAAATAGTGTTGACATTTGTATAGCTATTACAGTAAGAGCTCTTCACTCAATGCTTTCTTCAATAACTTTTATATGACTTGAAATCAAATGAATTGTTTGTATAGTTTTATGCCTTTTTATGGCATTAGAAAAATTGCAGATTTTTAGTCCAATTTTCACTTTTATTGGTGTCTAATGTTATTAACTTATAATTACTTATCACTGAATTAACACATTCTTGTGATGTCATCACATTCTATACAATTCTAATGAATACTTTCATATCTCTTTCATTAGACTTAATAAACGAGATAAAGACTTATCATTGGCTGATAAGCGGATCAATAATTTAGAATCGAATGTTGAAGAATTAAAGTCACGTCTGAATCAATCCATTGCTGACCGAAAGAGAGCTGAAGATGATGTCAAAGAAGCGAAGGCAGAGATCGATAATATGGAGAAGCAATTGGCAACTGTTCGCAAACAATTACAAGAGGAGACACTTCTTCGCGTCGATCTGGAGAACAGAATCCAGAGCTTGAAAGAAGACTTTCAATTCAAACAACAGATTCACGAGAAAGAGTTGGAAGAGACTCGAGTGACTCAGGAGACAGAGATCACTGAAATGGTTAACGACCAGATCCGAGAGCAATACGAACAAAGACTGGCCGATGAACTCCGAGAGTTGCGCGAAGAGAATGAGGCACAGATGCGGATGAATAGGGAGGACATCGACCGCAAGTATGATCAACAGCTCCAAGACTTGCGCAACGCTTTGGACAAAAAGACCGGCGCTTCCAATGCATTGGGCAATGAGTTGACACAATTGAAGACCAAATTAGAGTCAAATATATCGAAATTGAGTCAAATTGAATCCATTAATCAATCGCTTAATAACCGAATTAAAGATTTGGAGAGACTTATAGAGCAGGAAAGAGAGTGGAAGGAAAACGCATTGCAGGCCAAAGACGACCAAATCAAACAACTGAGAGACGAATCCAAAAATATTCTCAATGAATACCACGACTTGTTAGACATTAAGATCGCGTTGGATATGGAGATCAGTGCCTACAGGAAACTATTGGAAGGCGAAGAAAGTCGGCTCAATTTGGCGAGTCCTCAGTCGTCGCCACTCATTAGTTCCGGGAGTCGAGTGGTCTCTCCGCGCACTTACACTCCCAGAGGCGCCAAAAGGAAGCGTACGGTTTATCTACAGGAAGAGGAGAATGTGGTGGACATTGTTGTCAACTCTAATGCCAAGTCTGACATTGAGATATCAGATCACGATCAGGACGGGAAGTACGTCAAGATCTTCAACAAAGGCGACAAAGAGGTCTCACTCAGCGGTTGGCAAATCATTAGAAATGCCGGTGATTTGGACACGCATTTCAAGTTTCACCGAACGATTGTCATTAAACCCAATCAAACCATATCTGTGTGGAGTTCGGACAGCAATACGGCTCACAGTCCGCCCAATGATATCGTCATGAAAGGCCAGACTTGGTTCACATCCGATGCAATGCAGACAACTCTACTCAACAATTCGGGAGAAGTATGTCTTTTCTCATCAAATGAATGAACTTTTAAATTAATTTTCTATTAAATTGTAGGAAATGGCGACTCGAAAGACATCCAAACGTCTAACCAGTACTTCGGCTCACCGTTCGTCTGAGGGATTCTTAAGATCACAACAGGTTTGACAATAAAATTGATTAAAATGTAAGTACAGTTAACCCCGTTTACTGTGAAACCAATGCTTTTTGTCAGTGGAATCGTTTGCTTTCCCTAAAAATGTATGTAAAGTATTGTCAGTAAAATGTGTTGAAAGAAACACCGCTTGAATATTATCTGTAATGTTGTGAGTATTGGCCGGAAATCACATTAAACGGAATTGACTGTCAAATAACACATACGATAACATTTGTTTTGTTTGTCAGGCGGACACACCGGCCGGTCAGGAGAGGTGTTCAATAATGTGATGCAATCCAAAAACACACAATCAAACCGTTTTTACAATAATTTACTTATATTTAAGATTTTAAGCCATATATTCATTTACACAATTGATTTAGATTTAACCGCTTTTTAACAATACATTATTTTCTAATTTTTCGTATAATTGATGACCTTTTGGGTGAAATTTATAGAAACTTAATTTAGTAGTAGTTTTATAGCATATTGTCTTCTCATATACAGTGCATGTCATATGTGTTGCATATATTCGCTATTATTATATAAGAGCTAATGTTGATTATAAAGCATCTAATTTTCCAATCACTTTATTATTGATTACTTATATTCGTATTATAAAAGCAATTAAACTCATGTTATTATTACTGATATTTAAATCAAAAACAAAATATAAACCATTATATGCTATATTTTAAACGCCTATATTATAAAAGAGCCTTAATTCGCAAAAATATATTAAACCATTTGATTACCAAACAATTGTTTTATTTTTGTTCATTATTGTGGTCTCACGTGTAATGAACACATGTATCGGGTATTGTCCCTCATTTGTCAAATACCATAAACCAATTACCGTATTATCAATAACTTTATTTTAGTTGTTTGAGTAGAGAGAGAGAGAGAGAGAGAGAGAGAGAGAGAGAGCGAGAGAGTATTAGTTCTAGATTAAAACAGTGTTTATTGAGATTGTTGCCAATAGTAATCAAAGAATACCATTTAAGTTAACAAAAATTATTTTCAAACATTTTATTTATTTAACATTTTTATATTATATTACGTTATATATTATATAATATATAATAACTATTTGGACGGAGACTAAATTATTTCTATTTATAATAGTTTTATAATGTTTTGTCCGAAATAATGCACTTTCAAGAAGACTACGATTATAACGAAATACAGTAACTATTTGTTCATAAACTCATGTTATTATTACTGATATTTAAATCAAAAACAAAATATAAACCATTATATGCTATATTTTAAACGCCTATATTATAAAAGAGCCTTAATTCGCAAAAATATATTAAACCATTTGATTACAAAACAATTGTTTTATTTTTGTTCATTATTGTGGTCTCACGTGTAATGAAAACATGTATCGTGTATTGTCCCTCATTTGTCAAAACCATAAACCAATTACCGTATTATCAATAACTTTGTTTTAATTGTTTGAGTAGAGAGAGAGAGAGAGAGAGAGAGAGAGAGTATTGGTTCTAGATTAAAACAGTATTTATTGTGATTGTTGCCAATTGTAATCAAAGAATACCATTTAAGATAACAAAAATTATTTTCAAACATTTTATTTATTTAACATTTTTATATTAATATAATTATGAATATATAATAACTATTTGGACGGAGACTAAATTATTTCTATTTATAATAGTTTTATAATGTTTTGTCCGAAATAATGCACTTTCAAGAAGACTACGATTATAACGAAATACAGTAACTATTTGTTCAATGAGTGCATAACTATTATCGTTGTTTGCATTTAATTATAGTCAAAAACTAAACTATTAGTTAATCATAATCTATGTCTACTATCTAACCATATATCAGATCAAATGATTAGTAATATGTTGTATAAGTTATTGAAACTATAATTAAATGTATGGAAATGTCTACACATGTATGGTATGATAGTCTGTATTACATTATATCTAATGTTTTATAATACTATTGAAGACTTGTCACTCAATGTCTCACCGAATTTCTTACAATTGGATCCAAAATAACGCTAAATATGTGTGAAGACTAGTAATAATCAAAGGGAAGACAGTTGTAATTTAATCTGCATTTTTGAGTACCACATAAGGGACTCCTAATTCAAACTCATTTCGGGGCCAAAACATGATTGTTGGCTGTTTTTCTTCGTGTTCATTGATTGCGTCGAAATACGCGAATAACACGCAAACCGTATACGAAGTAATCGCTATCAATATATGCCATAAGCCGTGAAGGTATGGAAAGTTAATGGC